CCCCCCCCCGACGCGATTACGCGTCGCGTCTCGTCGTCAATCGAAACGAATCACTCGGCTCGCTCGGCAGCGCCGTCCGTATTCGATTTTCCACGGATCGCGACAGGTGACGTACTGAAATATGGAAGACGCCACGGTGATTTTTGCTCCGATGAGCGAACGGCGAATCTTCACGCTCATCTCGAAGTGAAATATGATATAGAATATATTTTCCATAAGTAAACGTTTATCTGTATGTGTTAAGATAATTGCGACAAGTGTTCAATTCTTAGCATTGAGAATATCAGAATGTTTTTATTTAAGTATTTCATTGGAAAAACAAGTTTCAAATTTAGTTACAACTAGTAGATTGTCCCGATGGAAATGTGTTATATAATTTTAATAAATGTTCTCTTAAATTTAGAACCACACTTACATTCGGTAATTTATTTACAAATTAAGATGTTACTGCGTTCAAATAAGTATTTACTATAAACTATTAAAATATATTTAAATTAATAAAAATATTTGATAATAAAATGCTGAGGAAGCAAGTAATTACATTTACATGATCCCAGCCCCTTTTTTTCCACGTAGCCCCGTTACGTATCTATGATAAAAACGCTAATTTATTCGGATTAACGATAAAGCGACGGGGCTCACGCACATGGTAACATTTGTACAAAATTCACGACGAGCTGCGTCGAGCGGCTGGTTTTTGCTTCATCTTAAGTGGACGAAAGTTGAAATTACTCGGGCAAATGATCGGGGATTGTGAATTGCTGGAGAGAGAACGTATCCTACCGTGAATCGCGGACGGAAAAGGCGGGGGCATTACTGAAGCTCATTAAATTCCGGCCGACGACTTAATCTAGGTCGTTATTTATATCTCAGCGGCAGTCGTATCTGCTCTCTGGAGAAAGAAGTACGAATTCTACCGCAGGTTTCCGCTCTCCGGGGAACGATCTCGCCATGGAAAATGTGACCGATTTGAAGTCGCACTCGTCCTCTGCCACGTCTCCATTTCTTTTCCTTCCTCTTCCTCTACCTTCTCCTCTTCGATCCGTTCTGTCCGAGTGTCCCTGCCGGGCGGACTTATTTTAAGCGATTACGCACTTCTGGATCGACCGAATCCATAAGAATGAAATCGTCTTCTCGACAGTGGCACGCAAGTCGATCTTCGCTAACGTAGAAACTGATGACGAGTAGTGATATCGACTCGCGCACTCGTTCGCGTTTTCGATAACAATTACGAGCGCATTCCTACGAGTAGCGATCTCTGCGGGAGTGCATTCGCCTGTCGGTGATTCGAGACTCGCGCGCGGTTTCTTTACGAACAAACACTCACGATTGTGGTCAATGCTATTCGTCGGCTCCTCGCCATTCTTCTGTATCGCCCGGGGTGATCCAACTTCTAACAGTTGTCAACGACACCTCTCGACAAAACCGAGGTCAACGGCGACACCTTGACAGCCGCTATTACGTATGCGTAGTTTCGTTCTGCCGGTGGATCGCATCAGAATGAAAGATTCGTCAGCAATGACAGCTTATAGGATTTTTATTAATTTTAACATCGTGGAAGATTTCTTCAGATACTGTTTAAATATTTCCTTGGATATAGTTTAAGTAGACAATGGTTAAATACATTCTCGAGAAAAAGGGCGGTAGGCGAAAATTTTTCCGTATGTTCGGTCGTTCAAATGTTGAAAGGCTTTCTTTTCTCAGGAGCCTCGAAGAGAAAATCAGAGAGCGTCGTTTTAATAGAATAAGAATTAATAAAGCCGGATTTGATTCCGGTTGAAATTTATCGCTATTTTTGTAAATAACTACGACAGACCGCGATCTCCCGTAATCCCTTTCGTTAGAAAACGACGATCGAAATCCGTCGACAGTTTGCGCGTGAAAGCCCGAACGACGAATAGTAATTGGACATGTATATTTGATCGCAGATCAAGACTCCTCTCATAATAGGGTGCTTGACACATCCGCGAAGAATGTATTCGTTTGATACATTCGCAAAGAGCGTTTGACTCACAATGAGACAAAGAATGACCGGCGGTTAGCGTTAGGCAGACGCGATTATTAAGCTAAAGTATGTGCGGGGCGAGCCGTTCGCTTTGGCAGGAAGTACCGCTATTCTCGTCACTTTTACGGTCGTTAAAACAATTCTCTGGCCGTTATTTGTTGTCTTACGCTGCGGCGACCAACGACGGAGACTTCCCGCGCCATTTTTCGTCTCACAACCCTCCTCCCCTCCCCTCCTCTCTCGACTAAAGACCATTTCCCGCGCGCTCGACCGCGGGGATTGCCGCGAAATGTGCACAGTTGAAATTACTCACTTGAGCCTCGACATAAGTCGTACTCTCTAAATATCTCGGAGTGAAATCTCACTGAGAACGAGTGAGAATTGACTGGAAGCGATCGTGAAAACCTCGCTACTCGGAATCTCGTACAAGTGGATATTTAACTCAAACTTCGAGTGGATTCTTCGTTCACACGATTAAACGTATTTCGAAATTGATCATAATGATTCTGTGTCTGTGACGATGGAATATATCAGATTCACTCATTAATACTGAATAAAAATATGTAAAGTGAAAAATTCACACCGTCCGAAAGAAAAGTTACTCGAACTCGAATGGCTCAGCTGTCGCTCTATTATTCGAGTGAAACCTCACTCCGAAAGATTCAGAGGACACATGGGGAGATAAGGTTTCTTTGGATTCAGTATACGCGTTGACTGTACAATTCGAAAGAGTAACGTACGCTGAGTCAAAATCCATTAAGGTATGATCAGTGAAAAAATCAGCGATTACCGAAGTATACTTTAAATTACTTTTAATGCCGTAAATAATGCTCAAATTGTTGTCCATCAATATAAAATTAAGGAAATTTGATTGAATCCGAAGAAATCATTATCTCGATACAATGAAGCAACTCCGTGTCAACGTTGATGGATATGATTAGACGAGAAAGATTCACACCGCACGGTGGATGTGAAAATCCTTAGGTAATTTATAGGATACTCGACGTAGGAAGGCAGGCCGATAAACCGACGATAAAATCGGCAGAAGCGGGCGGTCGCCTTCGATTGCAGGCGGCGCGCGGGGAGCGCGCGTAATTGTTCCTGGGTCGATCGCGAATTATGCCCGGGATGCTCTCATCGGTTTCCCGATTTCATTTTAAGAGACGGCGAGAAGAAACGCGCGCGGCCTCTCGGTGCGCGCGATAGAGGACCCGCGACGAGGACGCCGTACTCGCAACCTGTTTCGTTCGAGGGGAACGAGCGCGACCGAAACGAGAGAGGATCGTTTGTTTCCGCGTTCGTGCCGGGCCGCGCGGCTTCTCTTTCGATTTCCCGTCCCCTTTGTCGCGAAATTCGCCTCCTCGTCGCGCAGCTACAAATCTCCTCCGAGAGTAAGAGAAAGAGGGAACAACGATAAAAGCTTTTTATTTGCCTTGTTACAGACACCAACGATGACGAGTGGAGATGGTCGAGGAACGTGAGAGGACGCGAAGGAAGTCTCTCGGCCGCCGAGAACAGCCCGAAATCGACGGACGAGCCTCGTCGGCTCGGCTGCGTTCGCGCGGGTAAGTGTGACGGCATAGAAAAATCTTTGCATGACGTAGAAGAGAGTAACTGGAAATTACCGAGAGCGCGTCCGCTCTCGTCCTGGCTCGCAGCGGAGCGCTCTCGAATCGAGCATCGGTTACACGAAGGTATCGGGTACTCGCGCGGCCCTACCCTCCTTCGCCTCAAATATTGGACGTTCGTCCGGTGGTATGCGTGATACCCCGGAGTGCGCTTAAAATATTGAAATAAGACGGTCGTGTATGCCGCCGGCCCTTCGTCCCAGCCCTCCCCCCTCCCGCCTGTCCGCCTTTCTCGCCGCCGTAGGAGCTTTCGTGCGTTCCCCGTGATCCTTGCCCGTTCTCTTCCTGTCTCCCGTTCTCTCGTCGTTCTCCCGCCGGGGATCGGCATTCCCCGCGGCGGGGCCGCGCGCCGCCTTTACGTCACGAGACGCGTAATTGGCGACGGACGTAGAGATAGGAGACGCATAATGGATTACAGGCGAGATGACGACGACGACGTCGTTTTACCTCGTCTTTTTTTTCCCACGTGTCCCATCGGCGCGAGCTAGACAGTCCGCGCTCCCTCCGTCTTATCCTACCCCCGTCGCATCGCGTCGTGTACGATAAATCGGTGGCGATATGAGAAAAATAACGGGCGGAGCGCGCAGATGCGCGGCCGGCCGGTCGCGCGATGACGAGCGCATCTGCTGGGCGCGACACGAGAGTGCCGCGCGACAAACGCGGGACCAACGCGAAGCAGGCCGCGATTACTCATGCCCGAAACACGTGTCCAGACCGACAAAAATGCGCCCATCGATTTTTTATCGATCCAAGAAGAAGCGACGGCAGAAGCGAGAATCGCGCCGCCGCCGTCGCATTTCCGTTGCTGACGGCAAAAAGGCTCCGACGGAGACGCGTTTCTCTCTCTCTCTCTCTCTCTCTTTCTCATTGAGATCGAGGAAAAAGGGGACACGTGCAGCGTGTTCATCAGCCGTTGTCGCCGGTTGAACGAGCGAATTTCTGCGCCGATCGCGATACGCCGGCGTCGACCGTCGTTTGGAGACACGCGTAGATACACTTAACGCGTGCACGCGCTCGTGTGCGCTTAACGTTGCTTATAACTTGGGAATCTCTTTCCAACATGTGATCGTGACTTCACTTTGTATTTCACGATCTGCGAGTAACACTGTAAATTTTCGACGTTAACAAGTTAAATACTCCCCTGACGGCCACCGGTGACTGGTACCACGATACTAACGAAAACGATATTAAAGGGACTTAATGGTTTTAAATTGAGATTTTTCCGTCCAGTAAATATTTCGTATTGTAAAAATAAGTTCCGATATTCTCTATATTATGAATTAAATACTTGTCGTAATTGTTTTAACACAAATAAATGTTTCGATACACGTAAACGTCTGCTCACATGAAGGAAATATCGTATTATATGTAGTCAATTATATATTTCTATAATAAATATTTCCGAGGGGATACCATTTTACTTGGATCAAGTGAATATTACTTGAACGGTAACATTCCTTCGCATATACGCATGTATGATTGACGTACGTCGAGGGCTGACGGTACACGCGTGTCTCGCGCAACATCTATTCGGCGTGCCTTTGCGTAATTCGTATCGTCCCTCGAGCTTTCACGCAATCAGTGAAGATCGGCGCGGCAATGGACACGTGAATTTTATACCCGCGAGACGCCGCCGCGCACCGGGCGTTCGCGCCGATTCCCTCTATATTCGGGACGGATTTCTGATTGCTCCGAGCGTCGATAATTCTCCGTCGCCGTATTGTTACGTGTTGTCGCGCGGAACAATCTCGAGCCGAGCGTGCGCTTTCCCTTTTTCCTTGATCCCTCTTTTTTGCAGAACCGCCGTTCGCGGGAACGATCGTGACGCGCGTTCGCGCGAGGCCCGATTTGCACGCGGAACGCGCCCACCGTCCGTTACGTAAGCGGCGCGTTGCAATTCGCACGATCGGTGTGAGCCGTCCTGCCCGGCTTAGCGGCGAGACGCTAATGCATTTCTTGCCGGGAGTCGATATTATTGCCGGCTGATTCGGGACGAGAGAGACGTCCCGTGGACTGGTGCCTTTGCGCGCCGCTGTTTGCCGCGGTAACACGGTATTTCTCATCGGCAGGCTGTCACGGACTTTTTGCGCGCATTAAGGCTACTGTAAACCTCCCTCCCCTCTGCCGGCGATCCCTCCCTCCCCGTCGGCAATCGCCGAATTTCGCAAGCTCCCGATTGTTTAATCGCAAGCGGCACCCCTCGCGCAATAACCTCGTAAACGCGCTCCCGCCGAATAATTCCGAGGACAGAGGAGCGCTCGAGCTAACGGCGAAATTTACAATTGGCCCCATCCATCGTCGTTGTCGCCGCGTCGGCGGCTCCCTTTCTTCGGCCGACTCCAGCCGACTTGATCGATCCTTCATCTTCGCGAGACACTTCGGCGGAACGTCGAAACAGCACGCGACGGATCCCGCCTCGAGATCTCGCGTCGTGCATCGCAACGGTGCACGTGTTGCGTAAGCGTGTTGAGTGCGCGCGGCTCCTCCGCGCTGTTACCCAACCATTCGAACATTACGGAGATTCGGTGCGCCTCGAAATAACTTTTCGAGATGCAGCTTCCACACACGCGGTGCAGCGGGCGAGCGTGCGCGCCGGCACCCGCACGGGCCCGTGCGAAAGAGAGAGAGAGAGAGGAGCGCCGAGCGGAAAGGATCCGTCCGCGGCGGAGTAGGGGAGTTCATTCATAAATGCTCGAGCGAAGGCGTCAATGGATGCGCCTGAGCGAACGAGCGAGACAGCATCCGCGTTTCTCCGCGCCGCCGTCCCGTCCGGCCGAACGCGTCGTCGGCTGTTGCTCTTTCTCTCTCTCTCTCTTTCCCTCCCTCCCTCCCGCCCTCTTTTGCGCCGCGTTTTTCGTCTTTCTCCTCGCCGTGCCGCGACGTTATTCCCTCTTTCTCGCACTCCCTTTCCTCACTTTCTCGTTCCCTTTCTCCCGGCCGCTATCGTCGGAGCCGCGCGAAGACGCTTCTCTCCTTCGCGTCTCGCCGCCCGAGGATCGCCAATGTACGACGATCAATATCCGGGGTTTTCCCGGACAAGCAGGTGCAACTACTGCGCTTCCCGTCCTCGCGAGGCCCGCGCGTCTGCGAGGACTCGGTGGAGATCGGGAGGATCTTTCTCCAGAGGGACACGGAGGCAAATAATTCGCTGGTGTCAAGGCAAAATCGGAAAGTTACCGTACTGGAGAGCAAAACGACTTGTTAAGGGTACTAATTGCCGAATTTACGAATGATTTTGTTGCGAGAACAAATTGGTAGGGAAACATTATTTTGTCCCAACAGCAAGCTAATGTGTCCTTAAGGGCGAATTCATTCAGCGGAATATTTCATATCATGATAACAAAGCTGTTTCTGCTCTAATTACGAGTAATTCGCTAATTTGATTATGTCAACTAAGTTTTGTCGCTGTCTCAATGAATATGAAATGTACCGTCAACGATAATTGCTCGTTTCGCACTAAAACACATCTCGCGTTATACGGTGAAATAAAGTCGCGACGTTACCACAGTACGTGAAATAATGTAAATTCGCGAAGTAGCTGACGTTGAGAAATATGAAAAAAAATACTAAATAAAAAGTACCGAAGGCATTAAAATGCAATGATATAATATATCGCCATTTCGTGGGAGTTAGCGAATTTCTTTTCTCGGGGGAAGTACTTCGCTCTATATCGCCGTCTAAAAGATTAGCCTCGCTTTGTCAGAACGGACTGGTTGCCTCGCGATGACACGCTTCTCTTAATCCTCATCATCTTCATTAAACGCGGAACTTCCGTGGGGTGATCTGTGCGTGGGGACGGTTTCCCCAGGCGAACGAAGCCAGCCCAGGGAATGCGGCGGGGACGCTCGTGTTTGAAATACGAGCGGCGTCCGCGTGAAATCGGGACTCGGAGGGTCGGAAAATGGCAGACAACTGCTTGTTTCCACGCGCGCACGCGATATTACGACGCACGAAGATGAAGGTAGAAGCACGAGAGCAAAACTCGTTGATGCCGCTCATTATTTCGATTTTGATTTCTGACGCATCCCCGCCGAGTGTATCATACAGACCAGTCCGATAATCGGGGCGAAAATAACGAGCGACGGCGAGGAGAGACATTCGGAGAGACCCGCCACTTATCACAGTGACACATCGGCTGGAATGCGCGGTAATTTACGGACGGGAAGAAGAGGTCAGTCCGATACGCGCCGATGCTCGGCTATCGACGCGCTGCTTTCTTAACGCGTACCGCAAACACGCGTGTACGCACACTCGCGCGCGCCACGTCGGAACTAGCCGTCTCGCGTGCTCGTTTCCGTCGATCGCGAGTTTCGAATCCACGCTTCTCCCGCTCAATGAACTCTCGAACCTCGGGAGGAGCCTCGCGCGCACATGGACGTCGATTCTTCCCCGAGAAACGCGCTAACGAATCTATAACGCCGCGGACTGCGCGCCCGGACAGGTAAATCCAAGCCGCGGCGGACGGAGTAACCGACAAACGCATACCACCGGGAACGCATTATGCGCGTCGAGTTGTGAAGTTCACCTGTGTTTACCGACGCGCATTCCTCCCGGAGGAGCCGAGCGCACGCGCGCTCACCTACCACCACGACCAGCCCCTCGCAGCCTACCGAGTATGTCGGTCAATCACCCCGAATTCGAGTCGAACCCATCCTCCGAGACGTCATCCTCCGCGGGGATACTTCCTCGACCGTGTTCCCGTCGCGCGATAGCGCCAGCCCGCCGTTGTACTTCGCGACGGATCGCAATTACGCGCTCCGCCTCGCGAACACCGCTTTCGCTATCGGAGAGAGAGAGAGAGAGAGAGGTCTCGCGTTCGCCGAAAACGCACCCTGCGTCCCCCGTGTATTCGCGCGGGATCTCTTTGTGTGTGTAAACGTATGGTGCGAAACGTACCGCTGCGCGGAACGTACGCACACGCATGCAGCGGCGCGACG